CCCCCCCCCCCTGCAATCGCAGGGCGGGTCAACACTATCCGAACGAGCAAGCTCCAAGTGCATCAGACGTGCAACACTCCACAGCTCAAGACATGCACAGCGCTCGCGGATCCCACTTCCTGTCCCTGGCAGGCCACCCCGCCTGCTTGAGCCGTTGTATGCTGTCGGACATGATTCACCAAATCAGTGCTGGCGAGGAGATTTTGGAGCGTTGCGGACTATCGAGCCTGCTGGAGAAGCCTTCGGAGCTGGAAGCTATGAAGCTTGGCCATTTTCGGAGTAGTGGTCCCTTGATGATGCCATGTCTGCCCACCCTTTTCAGCCAAGTCCGTTGTCTTCTGATTTCTGTTAGGGCAAGAAGTGTGGAGTAAACGTGGCTTTGAGCCTGGTACACAGCTGAGGCTTTTGCGCTACAAAGCCATGCAAGCCTCCTTTGAGAAGAACGGCTTCTCCGAGTTGTTTGAGGATACCGACCGACTGGAGAAGTTCCTCGAGACTCACCGACAGGCTCGGAAAGAACTTCTGCTCTTAAACGCTATGTGCGACTGCACGGTTCTTCCTTGGAGTCTGGCATGAGTGGGGTACAGGTTCGGTCGTCGTTCCAAGCTGCCGGCTTCGAGAATTTGCTGGATGATGCCGCTGCCGCTGGCCATAATATGTTTCTAAGTAGGAGCCACCAACCCGTGAGATCTTCCGCTCGCAGCCTGAGTTGTTGATAGGGGGAATCGAGACAACTGGCCCGAGACGGCGATGCACTTTTGAGTCCAGAGTAGGGCTGTCAAACCGCTCGTCGATAGCCAAATCACTGTACACCACGTTCCGCTCAGGCAGCAGAGCAGTTCTTCCAAAAGCGCCAGGCTTTCGCATCCAAACTGTTGAAAGCACTGCTTGGACGGGGGTGTCGCACCTGCAAGCCGCAAGAGTGGGGAGTTTCTTCATGGCGCGGAGATAGCTATTGGCTGAGTTCATGTGCAGGGGGATCTTCAGACAGGTATGCTGAACCCTATGACTTCTTGTAGATGGAGTTTGATGCTGTGACGCCCTGCAGAAACTGTACTGAACCTCCAAAATTCTACTGCCCAAAGTGGCTCCATGAGTCAGCGCTCAATCTGACTACGTGACCATGTGTATTTCTAGAGATGTTGCTGGCTCTCTCCGTTTATTTTCCGTCTCTCTCTTCAATCCCTTCTGTCTGTGTATGTATGTATGTGTATATATATATATATGTATATGACAAACACATATGTATGTTGTGTATGTATATGTGTATATATATATATACATATCTAAGTCGTTTTTCATGTGATTGCAGATTCGTATATGACTATATGATGAATGGTTGTGGACGAAGACTGCTGATAAACATATCATAGACGACAGACAACTTCTAGTGCAACGGCAACTGCCACAGCCACTGCGACTGCTACTGCCACTCCCACTACTCCTACCAATACTGCTACTTTTTCTACTGATAGTACTCCTGCTGCTGCTGCTGCTACTACCACTGTCACTGTAGTAGTAGTCGTCGTCGTAGTAGTCGTAGCAGTAGTAGTAGTAGTAGTAGTAGTAGTAGTAGTAGCAGCAACAGTAGCAGTAGAAGAGTGCTAGCAGCAGCAGCCGCAGCAGCAGGAGTAGTAGTAGCAGTAGTAGTTGT